CCCCGCAACCCTATCCCCCTCCCAATAGTTGCACGAATCCAAAATCAAACCAGGCACTGCGATTCACAAAATGCTACATTCCTGTTTAAAAAAAGGGATGGATATTCATATCACAAAAGCTCAATAGGCAGTGGAAGTTTACTAGTGGAATGAGTCTTGATGCAACAGGATGCAAAAATGTTCATTTGTACCCAAGAAGTAAGAATTCAGATGTACTTCAGTAATCAATATTAAAATGAGGAAAAAATAAGAAGTAAATATCTTAACTTTAGGTAATATAGTTACATTACAAGTATAGCACATTTATTCTGACACCCTCAAATCCATGGGAAGCATATCAAAATTTCAAATGGACACTCTTTTATTAGGTATCGTACTGACAACTTTTTCCATTTTATTTGAGCGTCCATTGAAAGCCTACATTTCTGTCATCTGTTCATTTCAAAGCAGACAAGAAACAAAACTACTGTCTGAGAACACTCAAGTGTCTGGAGACGTGAGAAGCCCACTGGTCATTCACAAACTGGACATGCACGATGAAGCAATTGTAATTGTTAATGTTTTTACATCCTCATCAACACAATTTTGATCATTTAGAAGGTGGGCTGCCCCGACCCGGCCCGTCTAGGCCACTCTAGGCTGGGGGGAGGGATACAATGTCGTTCCAGACATACGGAGAGATCCTCAACAAAAAAAAGCTTCCCCACCTGGGAATCAAACTCACGTCTTCTACTCACCACAGCAAGGACCCTAACAGGATTTTTTTTAAAGTAGGTATTTTTATGCACCCATCCACACAACAAAAGGGGGCTATCCCGAAAAATGCTGTTTTGAGAAAATCGAAGGTATGCACCCATCCACACAACAAAAGGGGGCTATCCTGAAAAATGCTGTTTTGAGAAAATCGAAGGTAAAGTTTTCGCTCCTTGTTCAGTTTCATTAAAAGACAAGGAAAGTTTTCTCTATAACCAAGCAAATATACACATCAATGAAACCAAACTTCTCCTATAGGTAGACCAATGCCCACTTTTGGTGTAGGTCAATATTTCAGGAAACCCCCGAAATCTGGGTTAGCCCGCTTGTCCTTAAAAGCGACCAATTTAAATCATTTAGGGAGCGGGCTTCCGACCCTGCTGTCATGACCAGCCTGGGCTGAGAAGGATACAACATCTAAGTAGAAAGACTGAGAAACAGACATACAAGGAGAGCTCTTGTTGATGGCCTATACTCCGGCACAGGGCGAAAAAGGCTGATGATGATCATGATGATGATGATGATTACTGAAGAGTACATCTTCGTCATTTCATTTGTGGTGTAAAATTTACTTCATATGGTCCATCTGCATCAAGATGTATAAATATATTGTATAAATGTATAAATAATAAGTATAATCTAATATGACGGCAATAAACAGAAAGTTACTTTGTAAACAATAAAATAAATCATGTATCACAGGAGACCCTTCGCATTTTATGGGTTCAGACACACACTACCATTAAGTCCTCATACCTTCGTTACAAGGTCAGATCATTTCACAGCAGAAAGGACTTTGAGATTCTGCAGTATGAATTGCAATAGAAATGTAATAAATAGTATTTATATAGCGTATATCCCGGTCAACAGTAAGCTCTTTGTGTTTTGCAATCTATATTATTACCCCAGCAAACTCTAGCACACACAAAAACATTCTTGGCTTCCTGGGTAGCATGCAGTATAAGCAGCGGATTAGGCACTCAAACACTAACAAACGGACAAGATCTTTCGCTGTCTACAGCTGGGTACCCATTCCCACCTGGGTGAAGTGAGGAAAATTTGTGTAATGTAAAGGACACCATGTCAGGCCCCTAACAGGTTTTGAACCCCCAACTTTCTGGTTGCCAGCCCAACTGCCTAGCCATTAGATCACCAAAGCCACAAAAATAAGTAAATAATTCTCCTTCCCTAATTGCGTAGCACTTGCAGACTTGCCAAGCCCTCCAAAACCAGAAAATAGCGTTTACCTCAGAATTCTACCTAAAAATTGGAGTTTGGGGGCAAAAAATGAAGAGTCTACAGAACCCTAGTAGATTCAGATTACTTTACGAATTCACCATGACAAACAAATGTGTATTGCGAATAGATGTAAATAAAAGTGTCTATTTTCACATCATTTACCATAAGTTGCAAAAGTATTGCAAATAATCACATATAAACGTGTGTATTTCCCGTCATTTACAATAAATTACATGTCACCGATAAAAACAGAATTCAAGAAAAAAATCGGATTCTATGCAAAATTAAATCCAATCAAGGTTCTTCGCAGGCTAAAATAAATCAGAGGGCTACGATTTTATCCAGAGTTCATGGCTGGTTTGCACTTCAGAGAGACTATTGCCTGTTGTAGAAGAGTAGCAGTAACAAACAAACAACACAAACTCAATGCCTAAAAATGCTCTGTTTTCACGGTAAACTTATCCGGCTGTTTCAGATATTCCGCGATGTACTGAAGCACAAATTCTGTCTTCCACAACTGCGTCTCAGTATCAGCCCCTACGGTGGAAAAACCGTCAACGTCCTTGAACATAAGCGAGTCCTCGACCTCCAGGACGGAAGCGTTTGTGGCGTCGGAATACCTTGGCATCAGGAGGGACAGGGGCGGGTAGAAGGCAGCGTGGGAGTGGTCGTGCCAGTCCACCAGACACATGCGAGGGTACACGTGAAGGGGGCCGGCACTGTCCGTGTCTTAAGAGATAAATAATTTAAAATGTGTAGAATAATAACAATGATAATAAAATGATAGTAAATGATGGATAATAAAAATAATATCAACAACTACAACAATAATATATTGATGTTTAATTTATTAGTATCATTATTATCATTATTTATTAGTATTATTATTATTTTTATTATGATCTTTCTCAATTGACACAGAAGAAAGAAAAAAAATGTTTTTTAATTAAAAGAACACCGTTGCCTCTAGGTCACTTTATAGGGAAATGAGTAAGGTAACGGAATGTCTTAATCAGAAAACAGAATTCATGATTCAGTCGTTCGAGCATGACTAAGGAGGAGAAACAGGTCAATCTATCCTCCAATTAAAAACACTTTCTCTCTTTCCCTTCAGAAGGAAAAAAAAAATAGCCGAATAGAAAAAGACCAAGACGTCAGTATCTGGATAGATCAAACAATTTTTTTTTTTCAGAACATCAAATACAGTCTAGTATTTTTTTTTAGTATGGGGTTTTACGGCGCTCGCAACTGCATAAGGCCATATGAGCGCGCGAAAACACAAGTTAGTTTTATTCACAGTTCACTGTAAGGCTGGGTAACAGTCTAGTATGTACATAGCAAATATACATGTAGATCTAGTGAAACATGCACATTTTTAAGAAACAAATTTTCAGATCCTAAATTTTTTTCTTATTTAAGTGTATTTTTTTGTATTAAAAACATGTGCATAAAGAAATTCATACATAATGAAATGATTTCCATATCCCACCAATTTTGCTATGAGCATGCTAGACTGTATATCATAGCATCTTTTTATCTTTTTGTCCTGTGTCCTGATTTGATGGCGATATATATGTAGGTTACGTAAAAATTTATCATAGAATCAGTTTCTGTCAAATACCTGCAAACAAGTTGTAGTACTTGTGAGGCACAAACCGGCCGGCCCACGAGGGGTACTGGCTCACGTCCATTATCGTGACGGTCAAGTCTTTGTACATGCTCATAGCCACTTCCTGCAGCATCTGAACACAAATAAAACATGAACGTCAGAGGAGGAGGAGGAGGAGGAGGAGGAGGAGGAGGAAGAGGAGGAAGAGGAGGAGGAGGAGGAGGAGGAGGAGGAGGAGGAGGAGGAGGAGGAGGAGGAGGAGGAGGAGGAGGAGGAGGAGAAGAAGAAGAAGAAGAAGAAGAAGAAGAAGAAGAAGAAGAAGAAGAAGAAGAAGATTAATAATAATAATAATAATAATAATGATAAATAGTATGTAATATAGCACTCATCCTGTTAAAAAACAAGCTTTAAGCGCTGTGCAATCATTGAAAGTTGACAATACACACAAACACACACACACACACGCTCACACACACACACACAAAAACAACACACACACACACACACACACACAAAAACAACACACACAAAAACAACACATGCAACACACACACACACACACAAACAACACACACACACACACACACACACACACACACACAGGCAAAATATCTTAACCATGGATGATTTTTGTGGGGTTGTGGGAGGGGGGGGGGTAGTTTTAGTAAGAGTTTTACAGCACTGGCAACACAAATAGGTCATATAAGTGTCGAAGATTAGAGAAGCTGTGACAACTGGAGAATAACGTTCAAAGGATAGATGGATGAGAGATAATGACAATAGAAGTTTGATAGAAAAGAAGGAGCAAACCACAACAGAGCACCCACCAACCACCCACAACCATGGACTGTATCACTGTACCTGCATGAAACTGCTGGATGCGGTCATGTTAACAGCTGTCGCTAGCACAATCAAGACCGGCTTCCTGTCCTCAAACAAAGGACTGTAAGGACAGAATCATGGAAGATATAATTCTTTTCTTTAATGTACAGTCTAGCATACACATAGTGAAATCGGCAGCATATGGAAATCTGTTCGCTATGTGCTTACTTATTTTTACTTTTACTTTTTTTTCCCGCTTGTAACAGTCGGCGTCGCGGGGAGGCACAGGCATCTGTCTGCAGCACGGCGAGTGGCCTGTAGGTAGGAGGGACATCCCGTGAGCTCTGAGGGTGTTTGCCACAGATTCACTCAATCGTCGCCTTGGTCTTCCTCTGGCTCTCCATTCAGAATATTTAATGTAGTATGCTCTCAGAGCTGGAGGGTTTGAGAGCATCCGCGTGAGGCGTCCAAACCACTTGACTTTTTGTTTTTCAATGTGTGGTAGGACTGGTGTTGCTTCTACGGTGTCCCTTACGAATTCATTTTTTATTTTGTCTCTTCTTGTTTTGTTGACCGCTCTTCTTAAGCATTTCATCTCGCATGTAACCAGTTTCCTCTCTAGAGCTTTTGTTAGGGACCATGTCGCTCTGTGCATGGTTCACTATCTGCGTGTTCATTATGTGCGTTTTAGACAATAAGTGTTTTTGTGAGTTATATACACAATTTAGATCTCTTAGGAGAGAGAAGGGAGTGGGGAGAGAAAGAGTGAGAGAGAGAAAGTGTGTGTGTGTGAGTGTGTGTGTGTGTATGTGTGTGTGTATGTGTGTGTGTGTGTGTGTGTGTGTGTGTGTGTGTGTGTGTGTGTGTGCGTGCACATGTGCGTGTGTGTGTGTTGATGAGGCTGCTTGCATGTATTTGTTCTACCATGCCACAGCAAATCTCTCTGTGTAGAGATCAATAGGTTCTTATCTTGTCTTTTATTACGTATGGGTCCCCCAGGGTTCAGTCCTTGTTCTAGTTTCATTCCCCACCTATACTCAAACACTTGTCAAGGACGTTGTTGTTATCGATCCAGACTTGTCAAAGGCTAAATTAGTCATGACTTAAAATATAATCCCTACGCTGAAGATACCCAAATTTACGGTTCAACAATGTCTACCAACTTAGATAAACTGTCCATTGTGCCAAAATTGTATTGCCTCAGTGAAAAACTTTAATAATAATAATAAACGACATTTATATAGCGCTCAACCCCGAATAAAGTACACAGGCTCTGAGCGCTTTACAATACAGTACAACATACAAAAGTAACATAAAACGTTGTGTTCTGACTACAGAAAATTATTCCGAATATTCATCTTATTAATTAACTTTGCATGTGCTGACACTATACCTGTTTTTGGTGTGGAAAATCTCGGAGGTGAGATGAGTCACGGGCAAACGTAAGTGATCTCTGGTGAACTGCACAAGAATCTGGCCGCAGGCATTGTGGTCATCTTCACACCTCTGACCATCACGCACCGTGCAGCTGCACACACACAAAAATAAAATACACAAAGTCCCTTTAAAAAATGTAGGTTTTATCCCCCCCCCCCCCCCATATTGACATAATTTAGAATATTTAGGGCTAATCTGGGCTGAGAGGGATACAACTACAACGTCCTTAATTGTAGGAAGACCAAGATACTCCGTAAAATTTTCTCCCTACTCAGGATCTGAACTTGGGTCTCCTGTATGTGACAGCGAAGTGTCTAATGGCTATACTACAGTCGCCGGTACTAAGTCCCCCTTAGTGGAAATGATAATAATAATAGTAATAATAATAATGATAGGAGGAGGAGGAGGAGGAGGAAGAGGAGGAGAAGAAGAAGAAGAAGAAGAAGAAGAAGAAGAAGAAGAAGAAGAAA